AAGTATCAAATCCCCTGATGATTGTTAACAGTAAGGTATGTAGTTTAGCCAATACTTTCACATTTCACCCCTTAGTGCCTTCAGAATTAATGGATAAAAATAGGTGATTGTTATGTGGGAGTTCTTGGCAGTCTCCTTATGTCTGGAAGTTTCCTTCTGACTGCTACTTGTACAAAATGATAATTTTCCTGTAAGTGAGCAAAAGATGAATTGTAATTTCACATACTCCCTTTTTGCCTGTGAATTTTCTTTAGTTTGTGTTTTTGATAATCTGGATTAATTGGCTCTATCATTCATAAGCTTTTTTTAAAAATAGATTTTCATTGATAAATTTTATTTTTGCATCAACTGGATTCCCTCATTCCTTTCCCTCCTCATGCCCCCACCCTGTTACTCTTTAGCTTTTACTTTTTTTTTTGGTAAGGCAATCAGGGCTAAGTGACTTGCCCAGGATCACACAGCTAGTAAATGTCAAGTGTCTGAGGCTGGATTTGAACTCAGGTCCTCCTGACTCCAAGGCCAGAGTTCTATCTACTGCACCAGCTAGCTACCCCTACTCTTAAGCTTTTAAAGAAAGAAAGTCCCCACACTTTTGCATTTTAGAACTAAAACCTGAGATTTTCAAAGTTAGCCCAAACAATTGCCTGGCTTTTACAGGGGCAGGGAAGCATTTTACATTTTGCAGGGTATACTCTGCCAGTCAGCAGGGATTTAAGTTTTCTTGTATTTAGTATTCACAGTCCAGTATGGCATTAATTGAAACTGATTTTTCACCTGTGTCTGGTAAACATGTTTGAAGATACAGAACAGTAAAATTGGCCTAAAAACAGCTACTTTTAGTCCAGCGTTTTAAAATAGTTCTATCCCAAATACCAGTTGCTATGTTATTTTTGGTGTCTCTTTTGGTTTTTCCGAATGAATTGCTAGTCAGCTGGCTTAATGAGCGTTATATTAAGCCATTTATATCAAGCAAAATATTGCTGTTTTTATGTTAATTTCTACCTTATGCTTAAGAGTCATGAGTTATTAACTTATGATCTTAATCAGTACTGACACAGAAATCAGATTAAATTGATATTTTAAGTATTTCAGGAATCCAGAATTTAAAAAAAAAATTGATGAACAAAACCCTATTTTCTCTTCCTTACATTCTTTCACAAGCCCTGATTGAAAGAACAAAAATCCTTGTAACAAATATGCATAATCAAACAATACAAATTCTTGAATTAGCCCTGTCTGAAAAGAATCTTTTATTCTACACCTTGAATCTATTACCTGTCAGGAGGTATGGGTGTCATGATTCATCATTAGTCTTCTGGAGTCATGATTGGTTATTGTCTTTCCAAGTTGTAAGAATTTTCTGTTTTTAGAAATGGTAATACATTTCAGCAACCACTACCACCAAAAGCAACATTCTGCCCCCTTCTGTGCTGTGCCTTCTTCTCCTCCCCCAATCTGGACCATTATGGAGCAGAACGAATATCTTCTCCAAAAAAAATTGTATTTTCTTGTTTGGTTGTTAGGCAGCATTTTTAGCCGATGCAATCATTATCTTTTTCTAAAACTTTAAGTTGAGTCTTTGCTATTGACTTTCTTGAAGGGTATCCTTGATTAATGGGAACATCTTCAGCATTTGAGTAGAGCTTAGCTGCTCAGTTCTCAATGAACTCTTTCTTCCCAGAGAGGTTGAAATAATGGAAAAGAAAATATCTTCAATTTGAAATGATGATGTTTATTAAATATTTTATATTTTCATGTTTCTAATTGTAATTTTCTAGCTATTTAATTTAGTTACTCATAAACAGAATACTCAGGTTTTAGATTATGTTGCCCACTGTCTGTCTCTGGTTATTCTTGTTTCCTTTTGTGTACTTCTCAGGGAGAATGAGAAAAGCGGTTCACTTTATCAGTTTTAAGGAAAGATTGGCAAGTTAGGGGCATGGTGATGGTGGCTGAAACTATTGGCCATAGTTAGGTTTTGGATGATCTGTCGATTTTGGTTATCCATGCAATTTCTGAGTGGTTTTTTTTTAAATTATTATTTGTAGGTTTTAATTATCCATGCAATTTTTGGGTACATGTAATGAAAAGCTACATAGAAACACATCTCTGGGTGTGGAAGCCTGGAATAAACATGAGATAATGATTTACAAATAGGTACTCTGTCCTAGCAGGCATTTGATTCTTTGTTTAGTGGGTTAGCCATGTATGCATCTCAGTCAGCAGCATTTCATACAGTCTTGGAGCTGGACCTTTTCAGTCATCTTTAACAACCACCGCTATATGTAGCATGAACTTAATCTACAATTTTTCTGCCCAGTGGTCATCCAGCTTTTGCTTGAAGACTCTAGGGATGTAGAGCTCACTCCTATTGAAAGAGCCTTTGTACTTTAGGTCTGGTCAGATTCTTAGGAAGTTTTCCCTTGTAGTCTCCTTTCAACTTCTTCTGTAATTTCTATTTTTTCCTAGTTCTGTCCCCTGGGACTAAGCACAAGACATGTAATTTTTCCCCTAACAATTTGAGATACTTTTATTTGGTGATTATGTTCCACCTTAAATCTTTTATCTAATCTTTCCTGTTGCCTTCAACTAAATCTTGTATGCAGAGGCACCTAGGAATAATTGTACACAAGTAGTTATCTGCCTAGAATGTAACATTGAGGGTACTTTAAAATTACTTGTCATAAATATCAATGAAATTACACTTATTAAGTACTAGTTACCATGTTCTAGGCACTATGCCACTGAAGTATTTTGTGAGGTCCATAATCATATTGAAGACTCAAAACATCCAGTGAGTGAATAGTAACATACAATGTTACTTCTTTATAATTGCTTTAAGGAAATGTGAGTAAAGATGTGAAGCTTTTAAGTTCTTAGTTATACTCTATATTCTCTTTGTGGAACTGGGTGAATTTTCTTTAATGGACCACAGTTTGCATTTCCAAAGGGTACTAACAGAAATAGTATTTTGACAATTATCTAAGACAAGTTGTGGAGCGGGTGCTAATATGCATTGGTAGAATAGGTTTCCGTACCAGGAATTTCCCATACTGATGAAATCACAAGTCTAGTCCAAAATAAGAAGCAAAAACTAACTTTGGTTTTAATATGGTGTGTTTACACGAAAGAATACAATACAGCACAGTACAGTATATATTTATTAAGTGCCTGCTATGTGCCAAATATTGTGTTTAGCGCTGAGGATACAAATAAGAAAGATAGTTGTGCCCTTGAGGAGCTTAGAGTCTAATGGGAGAAGACAACAACAAAGGGAAACTGAAAGGAGGGGGTAGAGAAGAAGGTACTAGGCATGGGGCATGGTGTTGGTGGAGTCAATGCAAGGAGCACAGCTGGTAGGAAGAGTTGACTGGGCTTCTGATCCCTCTTTAAAATGGAAGCCAGAGGGGGAGTTTTTTCTTCCATCAGAATGACACAGGTTGTTGAGGGAACCAGTGAACTCAAGCTGATGATGACTTCAACCAGGGCAGGGGAGGGGTTAGGGAAGATAGTGATGAACTCAAATAAACCCTAATGTACCATCTCACAGTATTAATTTTGATTGGTAGGTGTGTAGATCTTATTATACCCATTGTCTCGGGGAAGGGAAGGAACATTGTGATCTGAGCTTCCTCCCTTTCTCCCACCCACACTGGACGTGCAATATTGAGCAGTGGAGAAGCTTTAACCTGCTGTTTTTCCGATGTGGGATGGCTTGCCCTCCCCAGGCATTATACTGGTCCTGCACTCACGAGGGCTCATGATGTTGGTGCTGGACTTACAGGGGGGCACGTGATTGACTGAACTCATACTCCCAACAGCCTTGGCCTTCCTCAACAGCGGCAGGAGGCTGCATGACTGATTTGCTACCAGGCCTAGCCTACCCGGAGTTTCTAAAGTCACTTGGCTAACTAAATGGTGATTTAGCTTTTCTAGCTTTCCATCTACAGCTTTGTTAATTTTTTGCAGACCTTTAGACATATCATGAAATCAATTTAAAAAAATTAAAATGGCATAATGCTAAGATAAATGAAGCATAGACCCCTTGAGACAGCAGTAACCATGATTACTAGTCCTCAAATGGTTATGGTTGTGACCTTAAACTATATATTATAATTTCCTTTATAATGGCAGTGCTTGTTATGAACTCTGGTTGCTATAAGGGACTGTTTGATTATAAAAGTGTTGATTTTTTTTTAATGTCATGGATGTGACTATTCAAGACTAGTCAAGATTGTGAAGGACAAGCCAAGAAAGTACTATATTTAATGGAAAACTGAGTTTAATTTTTGCTCTTTTACATGAGAAGTTCATCTTTTATTAAAATAAGAATTATAGTCAGTCAATTGTACACTCTAGGCAAAGAATTGTATCCTATTTTCTGTGTGTATGTCTGTGTCTGTCCGTCTGTTTCTTTTCCTCTGACTTTCTTTGTCTCTGTATGTGTATCAGTCTCTCTCTCTACAAATATATGTATGTATATGTCATCTTCTGTTTTAACCTTAAAAACTGATCCTGCTAGTCTATATCTTTGCACTGCAAATGGAATCTTTTTTTTTTTTTTAAACTGACCAAATGTTTATGAAATCAAACCTTGAAAGTTGAAAGCTGTCCCTGAAACTTAAATTCAGTGTCAGACAATTCTAGTTCAGCTATTAGAGGTAGTACAGGATGAAGTGTGGATTACTGATGTCTTACAGAACCTTGGGACTCTTAATTATTTTTGTTAGAAATAAATTTAAATGATAGAGAGGTTTTTTTGTTATGTCAAAGTGAAAGTATATTTGAAATTTCATGAGCACAGTATGCTGTTAAAACTGAAAACTTCCCCTGTATTGCCCAAAGATTAGTCAAATGAACATGTTCTCTCTTTATAGGTAGCTTGTTCATTTTAATTTAGTTTTGGTGATTGTAATGTGAATTTTTTCCCCTGTGGCTTGTCTTTTTTTTCCCCTTGCCTTTTCTTAAAAACAAAAAAAACAGTAGTTTATTATTTCCAGGTAGTACAGCAGCCTTCTGGAGGCATTGTCAAACAAGTGACTGCCCTACCACATTCCTCAGCCCTGACCATTCAGAAATCTGGACAAAAGAGGATGCCCTTGAACACACTAATACAGACAAATCAATTTCCTACAGGTAGGGTTTCTTTGGCATTTTGCAGTTTGGATTTGGGACATCTTTGGGCAGCGGGATGGTGGTGATATATCTTTGCTTTTTCCTTTTATCTAACAAGGAGAGATAGAAAGGAGTAGGATTTGAGCATGCTGTTTTGTCTTTGCAGTAAATCGCAATGTAATGTTATAGCATATTGGAGATCAATAGAGAGGTAGAAGTTCCCATGTATTAATACCATTTGGTTGCATTTTGTCCACTATTATTGGGGGAGGGAGGAGAGTGTATGCACTCACACATGTGTGGGTGTATGGCTTCAGGTGATGTTTATTCTGGCACTGGAAAAAATAAATTAGTGAAAAAGTAATTATTCTTACTTAGAAAGTTATAGTGCTAGAAAAGTATTCTTCATTTGTTTGGAGCCAGCAAAAGTGAGATTTTCGCAATCATGAATTGTAAGAAGGTATAATGTTTTCCAAAAATATGTTGTGGTCTGACTAGCCTTTGTGTAGGGTTCTATATTGTCAGTATAGCTTCAAGTACTGATGTAACTATTTAACCAGTTTAAAAAAAAAAAAAACAACTCAGATGAAACTTTGAAACTTTAATTCTGTGACATAAATGTAAAAAAATCAAATTCACTTCTTAGGGCTAAGACAGGATGAAGTGTGGGTTAGTCATGTTTTTCACAGATTGAAAAGAATCATAGCCTGTATATAACTAAAATAATTGTGTTAAGGGAAACATGGATCTCCTTAAACAGTATTGGGAGTTTAATCTTGAATAGAGAGTAAAATGTAAATTCATTGTTATATTCTAGTTTAAATGGACATGATTAGTTCTTTGTCAGCTTAAAATTGTCTTTGATTGAACAATAGGTGAAATAATCATCTTGAATTTTTCCTATTGTGGCATGTTTGTGTATATGTGTTGGGTGTATTTTTTTTTCCTCCCAGCTTCCATTCTAAAGCAAATTACCCTGCCAGGAAATAAAATTCTGTCGCTTCAAGCACCTCCTGTTCAGAAAAACAAAATAAAAGAGAACGGAACAACATCCTTCAGGTAAAGAAAATAAATAGCTAGAACTTCATGTGGCATAAGGAATGCTCTCAACAAGAAATAGACAGGTTACAGATAGAAAGAATAACACTTAAATAAAATATATACTTTAAACTGCTTGGTTTAAACTGTCTTTTTTGGCAAACTATAACCCATAATGATAGAAAAGAAGAAATATTTGCCTGCAAATTTATAATTGGCCTTTAACTTTATAAGAAAGCTTGAACTAACTTGAACTCTGTGTGTGTGTGTGCGTGCGTGTGTGTGTGTGTGTGCGTGTGTGTGCGTGTGTGTGTATTAAGTGTTGACTATGTGCCAGGCACTGTAGTAAACACTCGAACAATTTAAAAAAATTGGAAGGAAAGTTAATGTTTTCATTCATTTGGAAATCAGAATGAATGAAATATCTTTAAAAATTAGCTTAAATTTTTAATCTGGATTGAGCCATTGAATTCTTTTTCAGTTTAGATATCACTGAACATTGAAATTGACTGGTGGCCTTCAGAAATTCAAGGTGAAGGCAGGAATTATTGACTTAAGTTTTAATTATGGATTCTGTCACAAAACCTGGCTTATAGCTGAAGTTGTACCTAACCTTCCATCCTTAGCAGACCATTAACCTTCAAAAGTAGACATTCTGTTGGTTTATCATAAAAATGGAGAACAGGTAAATGGAAAGGTTTGTGATTACTCTCATTTGCCAGTTTGTTAAATTTATGGCTAAAATGTACAAAGAAATGATAATACCCAACATTTTTTAGAATGTTTATTATTTATCTGGATTCTTAAGAAATGTTTTCCTTACAAGATCTTTGCTTATGTTATAAATGAGAGTTGTCTGCTGTTGCCTTTTCTTGCTTTTCAATAGCATTTAATTAGAGGTTGCAGTCTATTAAACTTCAGAAGACTATATGGTGAAGCAAACCAGAGAATTATCTAGTGAAACAAATATTGTCATTTCCCTTAGGTTATGGTAATTTAAACTTCCATTTTAAAGGCATTGTCACTTAAAAATATGATATATAATACCCTTATGGGGCTTTCCATTTATAATGTGTTTGAAATGTTTTATATACTTAATATTGTAGCAGTGGTACAGTACAGGGCCTTGTAAAAAGTCTTCTGATACCAGTGTTTTGATAGCATTGTTATTTATGTGTTTGCATTTATCTTTCTAATCCTTTGTTGTTTAGTCAAGTCTTTGATGAGAGTTAGACTTCTCTTGTACTTCTGTTGATGTTTTTTAAGGTCATCTATATACAATGATTCCCCTACCATATCAAAAGCAAAAAAAAAAAAAGAAGTATTTTCTCATTAAGCTTGACTGATTTAAATGCAGGCCTTATTACAGTGAGGAGGTAGATATATTTGTTTGTTCTAGACAGATAAACTGCTCATCATTCTTTATATGACTTTTGTTTTCTATCTCTACACCATCAAATAGGCCATTTCTCAGACTCTTTATTATGCTCAAATCATTGATCTCTCTACCTCTCATGTCATCAATTCAACGAATTCTGCCCTGAGAATGATGCTACTTGACTATAACCAGTACAAACCCCAGCAATTCCCTGTCTAGACACTAGTTACCAGTTCTTTTTTTAAAATAAATTTTATTGATAAAATAAATTTTTGAAGTGAACTTTTATTGCTATATCACCTAAATTTACCCCTCTATCCCACTTTCTTCTCCCTAAGAGTTATCCAAAGATGTTTTTGAAAAAGAGGAGGCAAGATAGTTAATAAAACTGATGAATACATTGGAAAAATCTGGTAGTATACAGTGTTCCAGACATGTGGACCCTTTTCTCCCTCTCCCCCATCCCCCCCTTCAAAGGAGCTAGTGGAGTTACCTTTTGTAGCTCTTTTTTTGAAGTCAAATTTGTTCTTTAAAATTATCAGCATTTGTTTTATGTTTTTTTTTTTCCTATTGACTGTATCGTACTCCTTGTGTGTATGTGTGGATTTTTCCCCTAGCTCTGCTTATTTCACATTGCATTAGTTAATGGGAGTCTTTCCATGTTTCTCTGTGTTCATCATGTTTGTCATTTTTTACAGTACAGTAACATTCCATTACATTCATGTTCCACAGTTTATTTACCTGTTTTCCAATTAATGAAACATGTACTTCGTTTCCAGTTCTTTCTGTCATAAAAAGTGCTAATATAAATATTTTGGTATAAATGGAGTCTTTTTTTTTTTCGTGGCATAACAGTAGAATGTCAGCGGGTACATACGAACATTTTAGTAATTTTCTTTACGTAATGCTCAATTGCTTTCAGCTCCGCCAACTGTACATTATAGTAGGTGTCTTTCCACAACCCTTCCAAGATCTCCTGTTCCCATCTTTTGTCATCTTTCCCTATTTCCTAGGCATTAGGTGAAACCCTGGGAGGGGGGAGGTTCATTCATTCTTCTCATCTAGCGTATTCTTCTATACAATTTTAAATTGTTTACAATTCTTTAAAAAAAATTCTTTATTCATATGCTTTGAACACTTCTCTGTTAGAGAAGAGTTTTGGTCTTATATATTTCTGTGTCTGCATATCTTTATTCCAAACCCTACCAAAGATATTTGTTACAAAGATTTTTCCATCTGACTGCTTCCCTTCTTATATTGGATGTGTTAGTTTTGTTGATGCAGAAGACTTTCAATTTTATATGACCAAAATGACTTATTTTATCTTTTATAATTGCCTCTGTTCCTTCTTTGGTTAAGAATTTATCTCTCATTCATAGCTGTGAAAGGTATTTATTTGATATGCTTCTCCTCTAGATTTTTCATAGTTTCATCTTTAGTACTCTTTATTATTAATATTCTTTAATATCATTTTAACAAAATAAATACTATTTTAATATTCATATCTTTTTTGAATATATTGTGGAATTAGGGTATAAGTTAAGGGTCTACGCTTGATTTCTTCCAGACCATTTTCTATTTTTTCCAGTCATTGTTTCTTGCTTTGGTAATTGATACCAAGTTTCCTGTGATTTATCTAATCATGCTATGGCTATGGGCACTGTGGAGATGTTGTAGATTTATGATTTTTGAGGCTAATCAAAATAATTATGAAATATAGATGTATCTTGCTTTATGAAGTATATTCAGGAAAATGTGTGTTAAACTTGTTTTTCACTTAATTTTAAAGATTTTCAATCTTAATTATTAATCTTTAGTCACTTTTTAGTTTTCTCAGGCTTCTGTCAAGTAGTTAATGATCTGTCAAAAATTTAGTTGTACTAGGGGATCAATAGTTTGGTAAAGGCTGGTACGAATTGTTTTTCATGTATCTTTGAGCCTAAAGATTTTACATTAAAGTGGTGGCATGTGGGGAAAAAATCAAAATTGAAGGTTTAACTAGTGTTTGTTTGGTAATTTAGCTTTCTTCAGTCGTTATTTGTACATTTCAATGTTGTATAACTCAGTGACTTTTGTTAAAGATTGTTTCTTTGAAAGAAGGTATGTATCCTTTAGGAAACAAATTTCGCTTTTAAAATTCTTTATATATTTTTACCCATCATATATAATGATCAAGCTTTTATGTGTCTACTCTGTCCCAGGCCCCATGCTGCAGATACAAATACAAAGAATAAAGTGGTCTCTACTTGCAAGAAGTGTGATTATATTCTGATGGTACGGACAGCAGATACTTATATAATACCGAATGAATGTAAAGAGATAGACAAGTATAAATACTAAGTAGCCAAATACAAGGTATTTTAGGAGGGAAGTCACTAACACTCAGGGGAGGGGGGGAAACCGAAAAGGTTTCGCACGGAAGATGGCTCTTGGGCTGTGAAAGATCCAGAATTCCCCTGGCCAGGGAACCTTGTTCCTCCTCTGTAACTGTGGAGTGTTCTTTTGATACCAAAGAAAAAGGTCAAGGAGCTCAAGATTGATTACAGGTAGTAGTTTAATCAGTCATTATAAATACTTACAAACAAAGGTGGTCTTCAATCTGGGGCAGTAGCCAGACAAGTTCATTGGATCCCTGCAAAGAATCCCCAAAATCCCCATGGTAATTATAGAAAACAGATAAAGGCAAGAAGAACTAGAAAGTGCATCACTACTGATTAGTGGATATTTTTGGTTTTCTGCTTAGTAATGAGCTTGAGAGTTAAGCCAAAATTATGCCCAAACATAAATTTGTATATAGATCATATACTGGTCACATATGGGTTACAATATTCTTGTTTTGGCTTTCATAGGGCATAGTTTAAGTTTTGACTCAGTGTCTAAAATATAATTTTGTAGCTAAGTTATAATTATAAACAAGTCATCATGTCCAGGCTTCCACCTGTCACACAGTTTACATTTTTATGGCTTTTCACTTATTACTATGTTTTAGGGCTTTTTCCCAATCAGGACCCCACAGGCTGCCTATTAAAATGAGGGCATCATTGGAATGGAAGGGAGTGCATTCCAGCCATGAAGGCAGCCAGTGCAAAAGGCATGAAAGATAAGATGTAGAGTATTGTTTGAAGAACTAGTTTGAAGACTAGTTTGACTGTATTGCAGTGTGGTAGGAGGTGTGATATCCCAGCAGGTCTTCAAAGATAGATTGGAGCCAGGTTGTCAAGAGTTTTAGAAACTAAACAGAGGAGTTTTTATTTTATCTTGGAAGCAGTAATGATCACAGCACTTGTAATGTAGGGGATAGATAGAAGTAGAAATTTGAGGCTGGGAGACAAATTAGGAGACTTTTGCATTGATATAGACAGTGGTAATGGGGACCTGAAGGTGGTAACTGTGTGAGTGGAGGGGTGATGTTGGGTGCTAGAGATGCTATAGAGCTGGAAACAGCGAGATTTCACAACTAAATGGATAGCCATTGTCCTAAACAACAAAATTTTTTTACATATATCATAATGTAACCAAAGGAAGCTAAGTTATCTCCCACTCAGCATTTCTTGAACCTTAAATTTTAAGTTTTTCCCACATGGTAACATTCTGATGTAAAATCTTTGGGCTCAGAGACTTACCAGGAATGATTTATGGATAA